GAGGGCACGGATTGGTAAAGCAAGGGCTGCATTTCTACACTTGAAAAATATCTGGAACTCCAAACAACTTTCAAACAAAACCAAAATCAGGACTTTCAATACAAATGTCAAGACAGTTCTGCTTTATGGAGCGGAAACTTGGAGAACTACGAAAGTCATCATCTAGAAGGTACAAGTGTTTATTAACAGTTGTCTATGCAAAATGCTTCGTATTCGTTGGCCAGACACGATCAGCAACAATGTACTGTGGGAGAGAACAAACCAGATTCCAGTGGATGAGGAAATCAGGAACAAGAGGTGGAAGTGGATAGGACACACATTGCAGAAAGCACCTAACTGTGTCACGAGACAAGCCCTCACATGGAACCCTCAAGGTGAAAGGAAGAGAGTAAGGCCAAGGAACACATTACGCAGAGAAATAGAGAAAGATATGAGAGGAATGAACGAACATTGGACAGAACGGGAGAGGGAAGCCCAGTACAAAGTTGGTTGGAGAAAACTGGTTGGCGGCCTATGCTCCTCTATTGGGGTTAACAGTCGTAAGTATGTGAGTAAGTAAGTAAGTAATATGAAGAATTGTGACTGCCTGAAGAAAAACATTTGATTTGATACGGGCACACAGATCCAGTCCACACATAAATCCAATAATTCGTGTGGTGCATATCAGTCAGCTTCAACGTAGAACTTCGTACATACTTACATAATGGAGAAGATTAGGGTTCGAAGATATTATTCGGGGGGTATATCCCAGATGAATCTATTCAAATAGAGAAAAAAACGGTTGTAAGGAATTCAGAAGATTAGAATTTGAGAGAATTCATACATTCGATGCACCTGGGTTATTGAAAACGATCTTGAGCCATGTCATTCAAAGTCTCTAATCATCGGTTACTATTGTCGAGCGGACCTCAACTAGAAAGTGTACATCGACTAAGGTGGTTCAGTCCAGTCGGCATTGGCTCCATGAATTTGTGTCATGGTTTGGTTTGACCTTCCCTAGCTTTCTTCCAGCCTACTCCTACACTAGGCATCGTCGCTCGTCAAGGTAGTCAGTGGTTTGGAATTCGTATGAAGTCAATACTTCATCTATTTATCTGCCATTCCTACCTAGTACTCGTTTCCTATCAACGGCATTGCTTACTAGCTTGTTTCAGGATGTACGAAGACATGTATGATCGAATCATCCTGTACTCTTACTGGCCATGTTTCACACTAGTATAGTAAGTAGTACGGTGCATGAATGTTTCGTTGCCCATTTTTGTACTTATGTTCATTTGTTTAAACATAAAAATGAGACTTTAACCTTAATGAAACATCATTGTTGCTTGTGATTATCTAATGTACTTGGAATAGTAATATAAGCTATTTGCTTTTCTTTTACAAGTTGGATAGTCTATAAATATACATTACCATTTTCGAGATGGTGAAGAAAATTTGTAGCTCAGGTGGATGATTTTGGTAGGGTGTTTCGTTCTCTGAGCTGCTGGATGTTTTGGTTGTGGAGCTGGAAATTCAAGTATTTCGGAAGCCAACTCACACAGACGTAATTCTCAACTACAGTAGCAACAACCCAAGAACCCACAAAATCAACGGCATAAAAACTTAGTTCAAGAAAGCGAGGACACATTGCAGCACGTATGAAGCATTAAAAAAACGAGGAACAACATCTTATGACTACCTTCCAAAAGAACTGCTCTCCACGCAACTTCATCAATAAACATCAAACGAAATCATAAACAGAAACGAAATCAAGTACAGGAACCAATAAACGGATCATCCTACCATACATAAAAGATATATCGGAGCATACAGCACGACTACTGAGAGCATTTGGAATAAGTGTGGCACACAAACCAACAGAATCATTTCAATCAATCGTTTGTAGACCAAAGGACAAAATGACAAAGGAAGAAAAAACCAAATATCAGACTGTGAAAAACACTACATAGGACAAAGTGGACGGCCTCTTCAGCTTCGTTTAAGTAAACACCAATTAGCAGTCAAACGCCACGACAATTCTTCGCTCATACCAATACACACCGACAATTATGGACATATATTCGATTGGAACAATGTGGAAATACTGAATAGAGAGAGGACAAAGAACACTAGAGAATTTTTAGAAGCTTGGCACTCAGGTCAATCAGCAATTAACAAACATATCGATATTTACCCAATTTATCAACCAGTCAGAAAAATCATAGGGTGATATAGGATCAAGAAACAGATCAAAAAGGGGGATACAATCAAAACAATGGTGCAAACAACGACAGGATTAAGGTCAACAGCAACCAATCAAGATCGAGGTTAACAGAACAGACTATGATGTTTAATTCAGAAGAAGAACAATCAAATCTTTACAACCAAAACATCCAACTCAGAGAACGAAACATCACTGTAAATTACCATTTTCAATTTTAATATTGTCTTGCATCCTTTTCAACTTCATTAGGTTGTAGTTTTTTTTCATAAACCTATAAAAATTAGTTAGTTAGTAGTACAATGGTTTATTTTCATTGATCGATACCAGACTGACCACCCCTGTACATGGAATAGAACATTCATTAGCATTTCTTTGATTTACCAGCTGTGTATTGAAGCATGTACAATTATTATTATTATTATTATTATTATTATTATTATTATTATTATTATTACTGTTATTGTTCAACCTTCGAGTTAATGATGTCGATCATTGCTGAAACTTTCTTTAAAAAACTAATAAACTGAAAATATTTTTTAGTTACTTTTTCAATTTACAGTTGTTTGTCTGTCTATCACAAATGATGATCATTGTCTCGTTTATCTAGTAAGTAGATTACTACGAATTGAATTGTAACTCGATCGATTAGGCTAATGTAGTCCTCAAGTTTAAGTAATTGAACATTGTATACTTTATATGTTTCTGTATAGAGTCCGCCGGGGACTTTATTAAGGGTTGGACATAGGGTTAATGATCCCCATCCTGTGGAAAGCCAACTCTTTATAAATGGTTGACAGCCTATACTACTCCATTCACAGTAATGGAGATAAGTAAATAAATGGTACAAGCAGCCGAATACTAATGTTTCAAACGATGAGACTAGACGAAATGTGGTTTTAAAATCTCACAGAAAGCATCACTTCTTTCAAGCATATAAGTGTCCACCATACTCGGTGAATAATGGGGCCAACTAGAGTAGTATAAAACCCTTTTTTTGGTCGAGTAAAACTGTTCTCTTGACTTTCTTCAACTAACTAACTACCTACCCCTATGTATCTATCTTTAAACATATTTTATTTTAGCTCCACTTCGAATGTCTCCTACAGGTTTATTTGGTTATCCAACTATTGGTTATGGAAATGCACAAACAATCATACAACATGGTCATTTACCAATAACTCGTGGCGGTAGTGTTGCTGGTGTTGGTCCTGGTGGTGGTATTCAACCATCATTATTAACTGAAACAAATTCATCATCAATGTGTAATCATCATTTATCAAATCTACCGTCAGGATTATTCACATCACCAACTGGATTAAGCGCAAATATGAATGCGCTAGTTGCTTTGTCTGTTGCAGCCAATGCTGCCGCTGTAGTATCAGCATCATCGTCATCATCATCAACAACGCCGCCAGGTCTCACAACGACAATAACAACAACTAATATGACAACAATGAATTGTACTAATAAATCTTTATCAATCTTGTCCAATCCTAATTCTATTGGTAGTAATAGTAGTGGACCATTTGGTACTTTATTTAGTTTGTTACCATATACTTCGCATCAATTAATTGCGTCATCATCATCAGAACCATCAACGCCATCATCATCATCATCATCAGTGTCATCATCATCGTTATTATTTAATATTGCCCCGCATGTAGTTGTATCGAATGATTCTACACTGACAATGTCAATACCATCGAATTTAACATCAAATACATTTCTATTGTCAATGACCGAAGGAGATCTAAATCCACATGGTATACAACAACCACAACAACAACTATCGTCATTAACTCCAAGTATCACTTCAGCAACACAAATGACCGCTTTACCATCTTCGTCAACTTTACTTGGATTACATGGTGTACAGTGTAATGCTGGGACAAATATTATTGGACCTATGGGAAATGTTATTGCATATAGACGTGTACTATCTGTAAGTTGTTTATTTTCTATTTTTATGTTTTCGGTAGTTAAATTTGATGTGGATATGTTCAGCGTGCTAACGGGAAAGGCTGAGGAGATATAAAAGTTTTGATTGGGGGAGATAATTCTATTAAAATTTAAGTTTTCAATCTTGTTGGATCAAATGCTGAAATGACGATCGATTGATGTTAGACATTAAACACCGTTGGATGCTGGCTCAGTGGCCTAGAGGTTAAGTGTTCGCGCACAAGACTGGTCTTGGGTTCGATTCCCGTAAGGAATTGGGGTTCGTGGATGAGTACTGTTGATAAGTCCTATACTAGGACGAAACGGCCGTTTTCAGTTGTCTTACATTGATCGGTTAATGATGCTGTTATCATCAAACGGCCGTTTCGTCCTGGTACGGAACTCATCAGTGGCAATGCGCACCCACGACTCCTGTACCTCGCAGAATTCGACCTCGGGACCTTCGGTCTTGCTTGAGAACGCCTAACCTCTGGACCACTAGATCGGCATCCAACGGTGTTAATGTCTAACTCTGATTGATCTGGGGATTTTGTGCGACCTCACCTATTTGTCTTCGGTAGTTACTGCTCAGATCCGACAGGGTTGAACTCCACTGGTCACGTTCCCTCACTAGAACTTCGAGAATTTCCTCACGAAGCTAGTCACTAGTGAGCACATGTTACGATATTTTCAAGTAGAGTTATGGAGATTAGTGTTCGTTGCACATTTGAAATCAACAATCAGTCATTGTTAGACCACCATTAGAAACATGGAAGCACTGAAATACGGCCGTTTCGTCCTGGTATGGGGCTCATCAGAATTTTCTTATATATTATCCACAATAGTTATCTGTAAATTTCCTCGTTTTTTCTTTCTATAACAAAAAAAATCTTTATCACATTTAGGTACCAGAAAATGTGATCAATATAATTCTTGGTCATCAAGGTCGATCCATCATAGATTTACAATTATTTACCGGTACTAGTATACAAATATCACAAAAATGTTTATATATCTCTGGTATACCAAGTCGTACAGTTACAATCACTGGACCACAAGTCAATGTACAATCAGCAGCTGATGTTATTGAACATATAGTAGCTATTGAACATATGAAACGAGGAGGAGAAACTGGTTTATATCAACAACAACTGCAACCACACCAGCAACACCATCAGCAGCAACAACAACAACAACAAAGACATTCATTATTATCACTACTTCCTGGTAATGTGAGCAGTCATAGTGGATTAGATTCAGATTATTTCATACAATCTAATGTATCCTATCCGTACACATTGTCATCATCTTCATCATCAACAACAACAACAACATCATCCTTATCTTCGGCATCTATGAAAGGAAATTATTCAGAATGTTTGTCAGGATCAAATAATAACATTGTACCATCATTGCCATATCCGTTAAGTATAACTACTACTACTACTAGTACTACTACAACCACTACTACTACTGCTACTATTACTAGTAGTAGCAGTACTACTACTAGTATAAGCAATAGTAATAGTAGTGGTTTATCTTTCCCTCCTCCACCGTCATCATCATCATCTTGTGATACTGGTGTGACTGTGACTTCAAGAAGAAGACTTGGTGGTGGTGTTGGTGGTGGTAGCTCTCATGATTCAATGTCAATTCAAAGTTCAATTGATTCAACAATTTCAATGCCTTCTATAAGTAAACATGATGAAGCCAACTAGTTAAATGAGATGAATCATGTCATCAAACAATTGTCAGTGTATTGTATCTTCTCTACACTTATTCATAGTCATCATCATCATCATAATAGTAGTAGTAGCAATAATAAGAATAGTTACCTTTTTATAAAAAATTTAACACCGGTGGGAATGTTCAAAATCAGAATTGAATTGAATTGAATTAATGCATAAAAAGCATACAGTCGTACACAGAGAGAGACACATATACACATTTAAATAAATTCAGAGCTTTATCCTTTTTTGCACACACACACACTCTATTCGTCTTTCAATGAATGAATGAAGCAAAAATTTTTGAAAAAAAATATGAATTTATTTGATTTTTTTCTTGTTTTTTTCTTCTTATGTATAAAAATTAAACTTATTTTTCTGTTCTACCTTCTTTCTTTTTTTCCGCCCGTCCGTCCGTCCGTCCATGTGTGCGTACGTACGTACGTACTTACGTACTTGTGTGTTGTTTGTATTATAGTACTCATGGTACTCATCAGAATTTTATTGATTTTAATGTATTTTTTAAATTTGTGTGTATTTATTGTTTATTGACTACTGCCTTTGTTTATTAAGCTCTCCCAACGCGCCGTTGCCACTCCCCCACTGCCCAACTCACAATAGTCAGTGAATACACGCACATTTGTGTCAATGTGTTTCAGCAGATTATTATTATTTTTCACTCTTTCTCTCTCTGTCTCCCATTTACAAAGGTCATCTTCTTTACAGTTGATCCACTCACTCTCTGCATAATTCATCTTCAGATTGATGATGATACTCTTAGCGCCATTTAATATATATATATATATATATATATATATATATATATATATACATTTGTGACTTTAATGATTCTATCAACTAAGATTATCATTATTACTATTATTATTATTATTTATTATTATTATTAATTATTTTTTGGTTCCTTTTAAAACAAAACTGTAATTTATGATGATAACATTGAACATTGAATTTTATTTGTTTTTGTTTTAAATTAAATATGCCCAAATATTTCCTTTTTATTTATTTATTTTTGTTATATATATCTATTGGCGGGCAGTTAGTTTAATTTTTTCGCGGATTAAAGAATGTGTTTGTTACATTAAATTGTGCATAGATTCTTATTATTTTCACTTCCCTATTGCACCACAACTAATCTGTAGTTTCATATTTACAATTAAAAAATTATGTCCTATCAATATTGCTGTTGTTGATGTAATAATTTTGAGTGAACATTGGAAATATGTTTACGACAATTTAAACAAAATAAAATTTACAAGAAAATAAATCCAATGAACATTGTTATTTCATATGAATTGATTCAATATGGAATAATTTTATTTACACTGTTGCAGCTGTTCACTTTACTTACTTACTTACTTACTTTTGTATTTTCATTGCCTTTTCTTAATCAAAATCAAACTAAATCAATCGATCAATAATTAAATAGATGGAATGAATGTGATAAGATAGCGTTATTTCCTTTATTTTAATGATTACTATTATTATTATTATTATTATTATTACTGATTATTTCTATGTCAGCATGAATTGACAGACTGGAGAATACTACTAGTATGAATTACATAATTCACTTATAGAGTGGTGATATTCATTTCTTGATTGATAGATGAACAATTCTACCAAAAAAAAATACATAGTTTATTCACACAATATTTAATATATATATCTATAAATATTATCTTTTGTTAAAGTGTTATTCTTTGTTTCCTATTGTCAACTTAATCATCATACATTTATGTATATCAAGTATAATTGTCCGGTGTATTTTTTTCATTCTTTATTTCTGTTATTTAAGTTTCTTTTGAGAAAGTTATCATCTTTTTCTATTCTAAAATTTAATCTTTATGTGTGTGTGTAATATCTCCAGTGTATGACAAGTTATTCGCAAGAAAGAGAGCATTTTTTTTTAAAAAAAAATTTAAAAGTGGCTTTATGTATTATGCAAAAAAAATGTGCATGCATACGTACATGTTTATGCATAGATCGATAAACTTCAACCCGTAACAGCCACTTACCGGTAATATTTTCATTTACTTCCTTTGTTTTATTTTTTTTTTCGGTTTTAGACATGCACTGTATATTATTGTAAATGGAACATTTGTGTTTCAGCTTAATTTTTTGCCGCACTTGTAGTAGTAGTGTTGGTATGCATGCACAAACCCTAGGAAAAAAATAATTATATTTTTCTACTGACTACTACCAAATTATTAAGTAGTATATAGTTTTCTTAGTAAAATTATTATTTTCTTTCCTGATTGCTTATATATTGTTGTTGATCGTATGATTCTTGAATGAGAAATTATAATGTCGACTAGATTTTTTTTTCTGTCCCGGTTCTTTGTTTTTTTCACATTGTTATGCTCTTGTAAGTATTTCTTTGTTTTTATGGTTCTCTTCATATAATTTGATCTGCTGTGAATTTTAAAGTTTCTTCATTTATTTTTAATTGGAACATAGATGCCTACATAATTTATTATTATTATTATTATTTTGACAATGAACGATGTCTGATATTGATTGCAATCACTCATTGATAATCACATGATTTCAATTATTTTTATTTTCTTTTTTGACAAATAATCTGAGTAAATTTCGATTGTTCTTCTTGTTTGTTTTTCTTAAACTGTTTGCTCTTTCTTTTTTAAAAAAAATTGAAAATACTTACTCTATTTTAAGTGAGTAATATTATGATGGTATAATCAATAAATAATAACTAGTTTTCCTATCTGTCTTATATTTTTTTTGACTATCTATATTTCTTACTTATATTATTGTTGCTTTAAGTAATTTGTTTTTCGCTGAAAAAAAAGAAAATGATATTTTTATTTTGTTGTGTATAGAATGAAAAAAAAAAGATGAACGAACATCTAGCTAATTATTAATTGATGATTTTTTTTGTTTTCAATTGTATGTGTACTGTGTGTATTTCATTAGTAAATTACTCTCAAAATTAGAGTTGACGATTTAGTGAATACAATCCTTTCGTTTCGTGTGTGTGTGCGTGTGTGCAGTTGTGTTAAAAATTGGTTAATAATTGTTATTTCATCGAATTAAATATATATACCTGCATATATATATATATATATATATATATATATATATATATATATATATATATGAGATTCTGATTTATGCTTCTTTTGTAGTTTGAGAAACAGTTAGATAATAATTATTGTTATTTATGTTGTTTAATATCTTCAATTGTATTTTTGAAAAATTTACATTTCTTCCTTGACACATGTGTACTTTATGATCAGATTCATATGTTAAAAGATATTTTAGAATAAAAAAACATGTAAATGTGTGAATTGTGATGAGAAAAGTGTAATCTACATATTACATATAGTTTTATGTATTGTTTTGCTTTAAAAGAAAATGTGTTTTTCAAGTAGAGAAATAGAGCAGCTACACAATGTACATATGTTTTGTTTTGTTGTTGTCTGTTAAGTAAATTATGACAGTTGTGACAGTTAAGAGCTCAAGGGACAACTGCTTGAAGCCGGTCACCATGGTCCTTTTTATGAAAGGTTTTTTTGAGGATTAGCTCTCCGCACTTAAAGGCCCTTAGTGGGCGGCACCCTTACCGACGGAGACGGATATCCGTGAGGTAAGGTGAGGTGTGACATTTTTAGGGTCGACCTTCTCCAACCCCTTCCTTCCTTGTAAGAAGGCAGCATCGCTGCAGATGCTGGTTGTCCGAGGGAAACACCTTACTGCTGTCACACCCCTCTGCAGTCAGCAGTACGACTTCGCCATCGAACCTTGGGTAGCTGCTTTTAGTCTCATCGTTCTCCGATCGACCTGCCTGGCATGGTAGAACCTTAAGGAACATATGTTGCAGCCACTATAGTTCGGTTGGGTCATCACGATAGGCAAGTCGGACCACCATGTCAAGGTAGCAGCTACGGTCGGGCCTAAGAGTACAAATGCACTTTAGTACTAGTCAAAAGTCATGAAATTATGAATTAAGTGTAATTTCAATCGGTTGATCATTGAGCAGTGTTACACTCGTCTCTAGGTATGCTTAAAACTATTACGGGTTCACTTTAGTCGTATAATGAGAACAAAACAATGAACCAGCGTCCAGGTAGGCTACTGTGATCGCTTTACCTAAATGTACTAGCAAGAAGTCTTGATATAGTGTAGGAAGTGTATTCTATAAACACCCAGCCAGCATACAATGAATCCAAGCATACATATCGCGTTTATTTATAAACCAACCATAGAGACTTCCTAGGGAGAGTCAAAAAACAGCACACTAAAATAACACAGTAACCAATCACAGCCAAGGATTCTTCTGGTGGGAAATGTAACCTCAAGGTCAACTGATCAGCCCATGAAATAAATCCATAATAAAGACATTTATCGAGTGAGTTCTGGGGATCTCACATTCTCAACAAGTATTGACCGATGTCATGTATGTCAGTGAATACATTTCAGTCCAATAGGTGGTCGGCGCCGACTTGGCCAGCCCAGTTGCATTTTCTCACTGTGAAGCGGAATGACATGAGATGAATTCCGCTTTATTTATTTATTGTTCAAATTGTGATAGATCAATCTGACTTCAAATCTGTGACGTGTTTTGAAAATCGACGCTTACTCACTAAGCTGTCAGTTGATTAAGTCACACCAATTACATAGTCAAATATAGAATGTATTCAATAATTAGAATGTAGTTGTTAAAATTATGATTTCATTCGGATTTGAGCTTAATATAAGTCGACTTGTCAGTTTCAAGATTTCGGAGGTATAGAAACCAACTGTAATAAATTTGTTTTGTGTATTATGAGTGAAGACGATGTTTAGAGACCTTGAACAGCATGGCTCAAATTCGTTTGCAAGGGCGCAGTTGCGTTCACTTCTAGTGTTCTGTCGTATTCTAGTTTCCAGAATTCCTCATCATCTCTTTCCAAAGTTATCTCACTGAACTATACTTCTTGAATAATATCTTCAATCCCTAATATTCTTCATTACCGCTAATTCTTCTACTATCTCTACCACTATGGGATTTGAACTGACAACTGAGTCTCTGTGCTAATGTGGTATGGCGACTTGAACTGATGTACGCACGTACGAAGTTCTACGTTGTAACTGACTGACTGAGTAAGGCTTCTCCTACAATTAATACTTGGATCTTGGATCCTGTGTTGTCCAAATAAAGAAGTTGTCTTGTTTATG